AAAACAGAAACTTCCACTTATTTAGCACTTTTCTTCAGCAGATCCTCAAGCCCACCTCTGAAGAGTCTGAGCAGCTCTTCCCTAGAGCTAACTCTGGTCTAGATCCTTTGTCTAGCAAATACAAGCTGCTGTCATCCCAATTGGTATCCTGCTGTTCAAAGGTCAGTTGCAATCTTTACATCCTCCAGGTAGCCTCTGCTAGCTGGAGGCTTGTAAATCTAATTTGCATACTCTGCCACTGTGGCAGAGTGTTCCTGGGTTATATTTTTACGTGAAGACGGCAGACATATCAGAAGCCACAAAGCGTAAATAAAATGCAAATACCAGTTACAAAAGAGCAAGAAATTAGGCTGGATAAGTAAACAGTCTTGTTCACACACTTGCTACCAATCCATATGCCAGCGCATTAATGAGCAGATGTCTGATAACCCCTTACAATTATTGATACTCTAGTGCACTTACTTTGCTGTATCTGGACTATCAGTGTGATCTGTAATCAGTTGCATACACTTGAGTTTGAAATATTTTTTTACCCTTATAAAATAGATGTTAATTTTTAGGGTATGTTTTCAAACTTGTTGGATAATGGCATAATACTAGCTCATGACTTCTGTTACTACACACGTGGTGGCGCCTGTTTATTGGGGTTGTCATCCAAAGAATTCTTTTTTTTACAAGAGACACCAAATCCTGGTTAAAATGAAGCTGCTAAGGAACTGTATTGATAACAAGGATGGTCACTCATCATCCATTCCAGCAGACTCTGACCAGATTTGAACGTGTGTATTAGAGTAATTTATTTACTATTAAACTAGAAGCTATCTGGTCCTCTGACTGCTCTAACTTTGAGTGGTGCTCAACCATAATTTTAAGTAAAACTATGTCTCATACTTTTTCTCTTGCTTTGTTGCTGGTAGGAATAACCATCTAACCTCAAAATGACATAGCCAATCCAGACTAAAGGCACAATGGGTTGTTCAGTTTGCAACATGTAGACCTTAGATTAAATTACTTATTGGTAAATAAAGAACTCCCAGTTGCCAAGCAACCTTCTGCCCCAGGGATCTATTATAGCAGCTGTGTTCAAGAAAACAATATTCAGAACAATTCTGCTCTGTAGTATCTCCCTGATGGATTTTGTTGTTGTAGGGCTATGGACTCTTAGCTGTTACTTTAAAATATCATTTAATTCAAGATACAGGATTTGACAAAAGGATTTCAGCATTTCTAAAGAGAGAATCCTAGTTAGGCAATGCTGCGTTCAAGCAGCATTCAATTGAAACACACCCATGATTTCTTAAAACTCCAATAAAATTTGGATTTGGGGTTTTATTACTTTAAACTGTCCCCTGCAGCATAGCATATGTAACCAGAGCATCCCTGTGTTAACATGAGTGTTGTATACAATTGACACTGACCAATCTATGTACGGTTTGCACTGCACTCTGTGAAACAAAGGTAGCATAAATATCTTGAAGTAAATAAGGTTTCTAAAATCCGTTCCAACAGCCGAAGGAACTACTTTTAACAAGTAAGGATACAGTTTTTAAATTATTTTTACTTTGAAACCATGAAGAGGTGGGTCACAGGGCTCGCTGCATTTCTGACTCCTTGGACTCTCTCAGTGCACCCCCTCGGGTGTCAGTCCCAATGCCTTTACCTATCCTGGGTAGAATTCCACAATTATCCCACTCCTAGATAGGGCTTTGCAATACAGTACCCTGTGTATTGAGAGTGCTTACTCAACAGGTCGGACTAAATTCTGACATCTACTGTTCTTCCTGATCAAACAGCCTCTGAAAACCAAAGTATAGTTTGTTTTTAACAGAAGGAACAAAGCATTTAGAGAAAAAGGGAGTTTAAAAATCTAACCATGTCTCTATCTTATCTTAAGTCTTATTGTCTTCTGATGGTAAACTAGGTAGCCCTACTTTCTTCAGACATCCCCGGCATGTGTCTGCATGTCAATCTGATTGCCCCAGCTCCCCACCGTCTCCTGAGAGGGAGACTTTTCAAACTGCTATAATCCTTTTGATCATCTGGTTCCCAGGCTTTTCCTGTAATGGCATTGTCTCTTAACCCTCCAGGGCTTGTGGAGAAGTGGCTTATCTTGAGTCATTGTTTCCTTCCTAGTTGTTTTCCTACAGCTACCCATTAAACTAAACCAATGTATTCATATAGTAAACATTCCAATAACTAGGTCAATATATAGTAGTAATAAACTAGAACAGAGCAATTCCATTTCTTCTATGAAAAGCTTATCAGCATTATAAATACTGTCTCGGGGGAGAGGTTGGTTGTAAACTTGCGCAGACTTCAAACTTGCCTATAAAACGTATAGAAGTTTTAGCCGTGTGAAAAGGGGAGGGGGCGGAATCTTGTTAAATATCTATTTATACTAATCACCTGAACACACAGTACCAAATTTCACATAGAACTTAGTGTTCTTTAAAGATTTTCAGCTGCTTTGGACTGGTGGTGGGAGTGTGCTGCAAACTTCATATCTGAAGTATCCCAGCATTCAGGATGTTCAGATCCAAGGTTTTGATTTACTCATTTCATTGGCTTGCATATTTTTTTAAAAGGTATAAAGCTTTAACCTTGCCATGTGAAGAGTAAATAGCAATATTTGAGAAGCGCTACTGCTTTCTGATAACACCCCAAATTTTGAGACTGACAGGCCATGAGCAATGCAGGATTGGACCCTTGAATCATCCGAGGAATCTTATTTTATTCCTAAATGGTGGTTGCAGTTGAATATAAGTAAAACACACAATCCTACTATTTTTCTGCAGTGTTTACATTTAGAAAAGAGAAAATTCTTCCAATATAACCAGTGTTGTAGAATTAGGTTTGTATGTGTTTTATGGGCTCTACTGCCCTCTGCTGTTGTCTTTGATTAATTTGATTTATCAAGAGTTCAGACTTATCTGCATGCATAGTTGCAACAAATTTAACATGTCCTTTCAAAACTGAGAGTACCCTGGCTTAACCAGGAGATCTTCAGCGACTTGAAACTCAAAAAAAACAAACAAACCAAAAAAAAAGTGGAAGCAAGGTCAAATTATGAAGGATGAATATAAAAATACACAAGTGTGTGGGGACAAAATTAAAAAGGCCAAGGCAAAAAAAAGATCAAACTAGCTAGGGTCAGAAAGGGTAACAAGAAAACGTTTTACAAATACATTAAAAGCCAGAGGAAGACCAAGGACATGATGGGCCCATTACTCAATGAAGAGGGAAAGACAATAACAGAAAATGCAGCAATGGATGAAATGTTAAATGCCTGGTGTCAGTTTTCACACACACACAAAAAAAGTAGCAGTGATTGGATAATTAATATAGTGACCATCAGTGTAAATGGGATATGATCTGAGGCTAAAATGGGAAAAGAATAAGTTAAGAATTATGTAGACAAGGTAGGTGTCTTCAAGTTGGCGGGACCTGATGAAGTGCATCCTAGAATACTTAAGGAACTGGCTGAAGAGATGTCTGAGCCGTTTGCAGTTATCTTTGAGAACTTGTGGAGTCTGGGAAAAGGGCAAGTATAGCGTCCCTCTATAAAAAAGAATAAAGATAACCTCGGGAATTATAGACCACTCAACTTTGCTCCATTATCTTTCCAGGTACTGAAGTTAATAAGCAAGCAGTCAGTTTGTAAGCACCTCGAAGATAATAGGGTGATAAATAAATCAACATGGATTTGTCAGGAACAAATTATGTCAAACCAACTTAATATCCTTCTTTGACAAGGTAACACGCCTTGTGGCTAGGGAGGAAGTAGTAGAAGTGATATATCTCTACTTTATTAAAGCTTTTGATACTGTTTCACATGACCGTCTCAAACAAATTAGGGAAGTACAGCCTAGATGCACTGGGTGGACAACTGGTTGGAAAAGCATAGTCAGAAAGTAGTTATCCATGGTTCACAATCAAGCTGGGAGGGCATATTGAGTGGGTCCTGCAGGCATCTGTCCTGGGTCTGGTTCTATTCAATATCTTCATAAATGGTTTGGATAATGGCATAGAGAGTAGATGTATAAAGTTTGCAGACAATACCAAGCTTGGAGGGGTTGCAAGCACTTCAGAGGACAGGATTAGAATTCAAAATGATCTTGACAAACTGAAGAAGTGGCCTGAGGTAAATAAGAAAAAATTCAATAAGGACAAATGCAAAGTACCACACTTAAGAAGAAACGATCTGTTGCACAAATACACAATGGGAAATGTCTGTCTGGGACCGAGTATTACAGAAAAGGATCTTGGGGTTATAGTAGATCACAAACCAAATGAGTCACCAATGTAATGCTGTTGCAAAGAAAGTGAACATCATTCTGGCCTGTATGAGTAGGAGGAGTTATAAGCAAGACCTGAGAAATAATTCTACTCTTCTCAGTGCTGATAGGACCTCAACTGGAGTATTGTGTCCAGTTCTGGACACCACGCTTCAGAGAAGATGTGGACAAATTGGAGGAAGTCCAGAGGAGAGAAAAAAAATGATTAAAGGTCTAGAAAACATGACCTATGAAGAAAGTGGAAAAAATTGGATTTCTTTAGTCTGGAGAAGAGAAGAGTGGTGGTGGTGGGGGACATGAAAATAATCTTCAAATACATAAAATCTTGTTATAAAGAGGATGCTGATAAATGTTCTTCTTAACTACTGAGAGGACAGGACAAGAAGTAATGGCCTTAAATTGCATCAAGGGAGATTTAGGTTGGACATTAGGAAAAACTTCCTAATGCTAAGGGTAGTTAAGAACTGCAACAAATCACTTAGGGAAGTTGTGGAATCTCCTTCAGTGGAGGTTTTAAAGAACAGATTAGTCAGACATCTGCCAGGGATGGTCTAGATTATACTTAGTCCTGCCTGAGTTCAGGGGACTGGACTAGATGACCTATTGAGGTCCCTTCCAGTCCTATGTTTGTATGATTCTGTTTTAGTTAAATCAGAGCAAATCTTGTGACTTATTTCGGTTAGGAACAGATTTAAGATAAAATGACATAAGCCATTCTTAAATGGCAAATAAGTGCCCACCTAGGGTTTTGCAGTGATTTAACTAAACTGGTGCAAGCTTGTATTTAGACCAGACCTTAGATAGCAATAAACCCTTACAGGGTATATTTTAATGACTTTAAGTTATGTCAAGCTGACAAAATAAGGAAGAGCTAAGAGTTTGTCTACATGGAAACGGGCACTGGAATAACTAAATCAACTGTTAATTTACACCTTCAGTTACTTGAGTGTATATCTGTGTGGATGCACTTGTTCTGGAATAGAGAGCCCTATTCTGAGGGTACATCTACACTACAGGGGGGAGTCGATTTAAGATACGCAAATTCAGCTACGTGAATAGCGTAGCTGAATTCGACGTATCGCAGCCGACTTACCCCGTTGTGAGGACGGCGGCAAAATCGACTTCTGCGGCTTTTTGTCGGCGGCGCTTACTACCACCTCCGCTGGTGGAGTTAGAGCGCCGATTCGGGGATCGATTGTCGCGTCCCATCGGGACGCAATAAATCGATCCCCGAGAGGTCGATTTCTACCCGCCGATTCAGGCAGGTAGTATAGACCTAGCCTGACATAGGGGTTGTCTTATTCCAGAATAAGTGCATCCACACAGACATGTGCTGAAGGTGTGAATTACAGCTGATTTAGTTATTTCTGTGCCTGTTTCCACGTAGACAAGACCTAAGATTAAACTTCAGTTTGTCCAGTTTTGGTAGGTAGCACAGATTTCAATTCAGTGTATAATGCTACTAGCTACCACTAAAGCTGTTTTTAGAGTGACTTTGCCATAATAGCTATGGCAAAGGAGACCGAATGTCGCTTTCAGTGTTTTGGCACTGCCATGGGTATCACAGCAATGCAAATTCATGTAAGCAGACTTAGTGGTATGTAGGGCTACATGTGTGCCAAGTAACTGTTATAAAGTGCATCTGATGTACTACAATAGGTAAAAGGAGATGAATAAAAAACAAAAATCTGGAGATAGATTGGAATTTTGTAGACACACTTCTTTCCACTTAATATACAAGTCCTGAATTCATACTTTTCTTAAAACGTGAATTGTAAAAAACAGATTGTCTATAAACTAATCCCTTCTCAGTGCATTACTGAGGTGCTTTAAGCTTAGCCAATTTTCTTGCATTACATTGCATCAGGAAGAGGATGCAAGAACCAGACATGCTTCCTGTATAGATATCTATAGTGAATAGATTGATAACTCTTTGAAAACTGCTTTGTGGCTTTCTTTCCTTCCTCTTTATTGTTCTCGCTTAAAACTGTATTCCTTTCCTGCAGCTTTGGAACGTAGCCTCTTGAAAACTCTGCAGAAACTGGATGAGTACCTGAATACTCCTCTCCCTGATGAGATAGATGAGAACAGCATGGAGGATATCCCAGTTTCTGTCCGCAAGTTTCTGGATGGCAATGAGATGACTTTAGCAGACTGCAATCTGCTACCTAAACTACACATTGTCAAGGTAAATGATTTTATTGGGAGGGACCACAGTCATTTCAGTTAATTTCTTACAGTGGATATAATATACTACAAAATAATAAAAGTAAAAGTTAGAAAAAACATACAAGATCCTGGATCCCATCCTATTGCAATGAACTTGGTAAATAAGGCTCAATACATATGTCCTCGTTAAGTGTAACCACAATATTAACAGCATTGCATAATAATTTAATGAAAGATTCTTGAAATGTCTGTGAAACTTCTGTGCCTACCCTAGTTACAGTGAGACCTAACAGATAACTAGGAAACAAGGATTTATGGCCCAAGTCAAGCCAGGTTTTAATGCACTGTAGAAACAAGGAAGTCATGAGACTTTTTAAGAAGAAAACAACCATGACTACAGTTTTTCCCCGTTTCATTAAGCACATGTTTTTTCTATCTGTATAGAAAATGGCCTTAGTAATACAAGTAAATCGCACAATTCCAAATATAGGACCAGAGGACAAGTTAGACACACCTGAAAGATCTGGGAGATGGGAGAGCATAACTCTGCAGAAATGAAGATTTTTCTTTATTACCATGATCTGACTTCTGTTCCCTTCTCTTGCACTGTTCTAGGCAGTCTCACACTGCAGATGGAGCCCCAGGTTAAAGTTATATGCCTGGTTGTAGCAATAGTTAATCTGTAGTACTAGTTTGCTCATTGTCTTCAGATAAACTGAAGCATATAGTGTACCACCAGGTCCACATACATACCAGAAGGGCAAGATCTACTGATTTTGATCTTTAATGGAAGTTACATTGCAGGGTTTATACTCTGTGGGTTTAGTGTGACAAAGAATGCAAGAATTGATGTAACGTAAAGGATGTGAAGTAGTCATTGCATTTTTCTTTTTTTGTTCTAGGTGGTTGCCAAAAAATATCGCAATTTTGATATTCCCAAGCAAATGGCAGGGATTTGGAGATACCTGACCAATGCCTACAGCAGGGATGAATTCACCAATACTTGTCCCGGAGACAAAGAGATTGAAATAGCTTACAGCGATGTAGCGAAGAGACTCACTAACTAAACAGCACTTGCAAAAGAGATGACTTCTCACATATTCCATAACAGAATGCTTCTCCTAACAGACTGCTCTTTTGCATATAAAATAACAATTTATTTTGCATGAATTTGCAGTTATTCAATGTTACGTTGGATAGAGCAGGTACAGTAATTACCTAAAATTTGCAAAACAGGAGTAATGAGGCTTGTTTTTCTTTACCTTCTTTAGCAGCAAATATGAAGATTATCATTAATTCAGTTTGTTTAATGTTGCATTGGGGTACCCTAAACACCCCAGCATAAAGGGTTATTTTCCTCCACTCCTTTTCTTTATCTATTAACTATAGCTAAACTTGCAAACATTTGGTCCATTTCTGTGTAGACACGCTTTTGAAATTCACTAATTGGTCCACAATATTCTCTTGGTATATGGTACAAGAAATATTTATGTATTTTGGAATTTACTACTTCTTAAAGGTTTGCATATAGGATAAAATAGTTATCTACAACATACTGATCTGTACCTGCTTGTCTATCCCAGTCATATACCAAAGGATCTTATTTCCAAAAAAGCCTTTTGCAGAATACTTGGCAATATATATATATATTAAAAAAAAAAACAAGACAAAAAAATACTGTTAAATAACTGTTGGATTACAAACAATCCCCCCTCCCCCCCCCGAAATATGGCCATCACAGACCCAGATATGAATGCCCCAAACTGCAGGAGTTGGGATCTTGGTCTGAATTTTGTTTAGGGGCTTCTCAGAGACTGTGTTTAGGTCTGGGCCTTCTGGAGCCCAATGAGCGCTAGTAATGGTT